TATATATATATATATATATATATATTATATATATTTTTTTCTCAAAGGTCTAAACTTGAAAGATAATAAATATTAAATATATTTGGTGTACAAAAGGAATGTGAAAAATAAACCTCAAGCCCAGGAAACGAGGCTCAATTCCTTTAAGAAGCCTCCACTTAGAAAGAGAACCCTGGCACTCATGGGTCAAAGCCTTGTCCTCAGAGAGGGAATGAGAGCTTTACAGTACCTGCTTTGTAAAACCAGATTCAGCCCTGTTACTGCCCACTCTGACGCCAAGTCTCCTGCTCCTCTGCCAATGCCTTCCTCACATCATCCACTGGAGAAAATTACTGCAGCTGAGCTCTGTAAATTAAATGGCATGAATGAGCAACGCTAATCTGAATACCTAAAACGTTTTTGGAATTATGAAGCATATGAGCTCATTTCTATTTGTCATGAAACTCTTTAAACAAAACATTTGTATAAACCCTTTGAATTCAGCAAATCAAAACAACAAAATTACACTGACAAATACTTAGGTATCTACTGTGGTCTCAAGGAGCTGAAGATCTCATTGAAAAGAGAGTTTGTAAGCATGGAATAGTTATTGGCAAATAAACAAGACACCCAGTAATTTCTCTAAGAGCTGAGAGTGGGGACACATCACTTTAGGCTTTAGTAGTCTAGAGAGGCCTGATGAGAAACTCGTATTTATGCAGAACCAAAATCCAAAAGACCAATAAAGAGTATTTTTTAAATTATAGAGTGCTGCTTTTATGCATACATTTTTTTCTATAAAGTTGAGGAATGGGTTTGAAGAGTAAAAGAAACATAAGGCTATATTTAACAGTCATAAGGGATACATTAGCCTATATTTATCCTTCATAAAAGATACTTTGTGATGATTCTAATTCTCTGAATAATAGTTATTTGTGCACTTATATATAGGCAGCCTTCTGAAGGCTATAATGAGAACACCCATCACCCCCCAGTTCCACTCACAGAACCACTAGAAGAGATTGAAATTTTAAGTGTCAAGATACTGTAAGAATATAATTAGCTAGCTGTATAAACAACATAAATTAACTGCAAAAGTTTTATTTGGAGATATGAAATTAAGGACATTTTTGGCAATCCCAGTTCAGTCCAAATTTGATTTTAACTAAAAATTTAAACTTTTTTTTTCTTCTGAGGCTAAGTTTTGCTCTTGCTGCCCAGACTGGAATGCAATGATGTGATCTCGGCTCACTGCAATCTCTGCCTCCTGGGTTTAAGCAATTCTACTGCCGCAGCCTCCTGAGTAGCTGGGATTACAGGCACATGCCGCCACGCCCAGCTAATTTTTGTGTTTTTTAGTAGAGATGGGGTTTTACCATGTTGGCCAGGCTGGTCTCAAACTCCTGACCTCAGGTGATCAGCCCACCTGGGCCTCCCAAAGTGCTGGGATTACAGGCGTGAGCCACCACACCCAGTCCCTTTTCATTTTTTAAAATCAACTTTGGTTAGGCATATAGCCTATAATCCCAGAATTTTGGGAAGCCAAGACAGGAGGATCTCTTGTGGTCAGAAGTTTGAGACCAGCCTGGGCAATGTAGTGAGACACCCCCCATCTCTTAAAAAAAATTAGCTGGGCATGGTGGCACATGCCCGTGGTCCCAGCTACTTGGGAGGAGGCTGAGATAGGAGGATCGCTTGAGCCCAGGAGGTGAAGGCTGCAGTGAGCCATGATTATGCTGCTGCACTTTAATCTGGGCAACAGAGCAAGACTTTGTCTCAGAAAATAATAAAAATAAACTTTACTAGACACAGTTTACGTAAAACAAAATGCGCCTATTTTAGTTATACAGTTTAATGAGTTTTTTGCTGCTGTTATTGTTTTTGAGATAGAGTCTCACTCTGTCGTCCAGGCTGGAGTGCAGTGGCACAGTGAAGTGCCTGGCCTAGAAAATATTTTTCAATGGAGAAGATTATAGTTTGCATTTTGGAGACATTATCGTTTACAGTGTTATAATAATGAAAGGCACAGGAGAATGCACATACAGTTACTCAAAGTACAGCCCTGGGGAGGGGAATGGGAAAGGAGAGGCAATGAAACGGCAGGACCCTTGAAAGGACGAAACCTAAGTGACTAGACAGAAAGTGTCTTGGCTTAAGTGGCAGCATAGCTAATATAATTTTACAGTAAGTTAAATAAAATGGAAGCTAACACGTTCAGTGCCCAAAGGCAAGAAATTGTACCAGTGGATGCCTTTTAGTCTAAGAGCTAGGATTCTGTACAGAATGCTGAGTTTCCAGGCTGCACTTTTCCTGGATCAGAACCATTTCTTCTAGGCCGGGTGTGGTGGCTCGTACCTGTAAATCCAGTGCTTGGGGAGGTATGTTTGAGCCTCAGAGTTTGAGACCAGCCTGGGCAACGTAGTAAGACCCTGTCTCAAAAAAAAAAAAAAAAAAAAAAGTTAAAAATTAGCTGGATGTGGTGGTGCATGCCTGTAGTCCTACCTACTAGAGAGGCTTAGGTGGGAGGATCGCTGGAGCCCAGGGGTTTGAGGCTGCAGTGAGCTGTGACAGTGCCACTGTGCTCCAGCCTGGGTGACAGAACGACACCGTCTCTCCTAAAACAAACAAACAAACAAAAAACCATTGCCTGTCTTTGTCTCCTGATCCTCTTGGTCTTATAACCACATATGAAGTGTCTTCCAGTTTGGATTTTGTTCTATCGTGGGCATGGATTCTACCCTATAATCTTTTCTTGTTTTAGCAAACCACAATAGTTTATACAAAGATTAGTAATGGGAAAAGCATTTGAAGTAAAAGATTTTGCTACGCTATCTTTTTTTTGAGGGAGGAAATTATTGCTTTTAAAAAAGATACAGATTTAGAGTAAAAAAGAAAAAAGAAAGGAACAGAGGAAAAATGTCAACTAAGTGAATCACTTTTTAACAGTGAACATCCCTAAAAACATCTCTTTGCATACATACTCAGTTTTGCAATCTACTTTCTCTCAACAATATTTCATGGCTTTCTTTCTATAACAATAAATACAGATGTACATCCTTATTTTTTTGGCTTCATAGAATTTCATTGCGTCTACTGTATGTAACTAGTTATTCATGGGCATTTAGGTTGCATTCAGTTTTTCACTATTATAAATTAAGTGGCAATTTTTAGCATATTTTGCCCAATGAATCTGACATCTATGAATATTAATATTCTTTCCAAATTTAAAAAAATCAGTAATATTTTGTGAATGGGGAAAAATCCTAGCAGGAGTAGCCATTTTTACTTCCTGAGAAATGCTTTTCTTTTTCTACCATATTTGCAATGTTACAGTGTTCACTTTTAGGGTGTGGAAGACAGTAACCTAAATCCTGTTCCTCTCTTCTGTTGAGCACTGTTATTACACACACGCTTCCCAAGGAAAAGTTGTGAAGTCTACACTTTGGGGGGAGGTTGAGGCAGTGGGGGTGAGAGGTAGGAGTCTTTCCTAAGCTGACTTTACTGTTTTTCGCCTGATCTCCTGTGTACTTCATGTCCCCACGTTTTCCTCTGAGAGCTCCAGGCCCTCCTTGGTGGCTCCTGGCTGACTCCCAGCAAGAGCTGATCCTGGGTGCTCACTGGTCCTTTCTCTGTAGCTTCTCAGAGGTTGCCGAGTGAAGGAATGAGGCTTACCGAGACTGTCCTGTTTTTCCGTTCCTTCAGTGCCTTGAGAGGTGACCCAGCTGGCTAAGATACACTAGCTGGTACTGTGCTAGCAGAGAACGGTAACATTTTGATGTGTGAATATTCCAAATACCACTTCTCAAAGACAAAATGAGATTTCAAGGCCTCCGTCCCAAAGGGATAGTCAATTTGCAATTTTGGGTCCACTATTGGGCAGTGAAGGTGTTATCACCAGGCAAAGAGGGCCTTTGCCTCCTCAGGGCACACTGGTGAGGAAGGCACCTGCTTTAACCTGACTCTTTCCAGCCCAGTACCTTAGCAAGCAGAGCTATACAATGTTATGGAACTGATCTCATTTTCAAACAAGACCCCACATCCTGGGGGTGATACCGAAAGACATCAAAATGGAGCTGGGATACAGGCAGAAGAGCGGGATTCATGCTTCCTTCTCTATATCATTCGTTGTTTTTCCTAGCATTTATCATACAGAGACTATTCAACATTCATTAAAACGTAGCATGATATACTTTGCCAAGGTAAAGTCTGCAGGAAATGCAGGATAATAACTAAGCAACAAGAATACTCTGATTTGTGATGCTCATTTCTCAGGCTCCTGAGTGTATATAATGAGGCAATATTGTATCATGGAGAAACACTGCAGGCACAACCAACTTACAAGTTCGTGTGATGGGTGAAATGAAAAACAGGATGTTAAAAGGACATAGCGAAGCAATGTGGAACTTGGGGGAAAAAACCTGCTGAAGCGCTGTCAGCGCCAGGTGTAGAGGAATACAGCTCTCCAACTGCAGGCAGCTTCCCTAGGTTAGGTGTGCAAAGCTTTATTCTGGTCTACCACGGGGAAGCTGAGATTGAGACAGTGACTTTCTGCAGATTTACCTGAAGGGACCTTGATGCCTGTTAGGTGTCACTGTTCTCAGTACCATGCCACAAACAGTAAAACAAGCTCTGTTTTCCACATCAGCGCGTACTTGGAGAAGTGCAAGTAAAACATAATACATCTCGAGAAATGTGTATAAATCATAATGCATCTTGATAAGTCTATCAAATGCTGCTAGGAGCAATGGAAATTTGTCCAATTCCAGATCACAGAATGACCACAAGTTCTCCAGGTTTGGACTATCAATAAGGAAACAATTACTTGTGCACAATGACGTAAACTTTCTAAGATGTCATATGGCAATATTAAGAGATTTAAAAATGATCCTTTTTGGCAAAGAGGGTTTGGGGGTAAAATAAAAAAAAATGTTCCTTTTTTGTCAAAATGACCTAGAAATTTCAATTCTAATGATTCCTTTTATGGAAATGAGCAGACGCAGACAAAGATCAGCATATAAAAACGTTCATCCCTGGACTGTTTTTATCATCCTGAAAAAGAAACAAATGAAATGTCCACCTATTAGTGCACCTAATACAATGTATTTTGCAGTCATTATAGTTTAAGAAAAACGCTAACTGGCATGGAAATATTTATTTATTCAGACAGAATCTACACCAGTTTATGATCTCTGGTATTAAGGATAAAGGAAAAGCATTGTTTGTGCCAGGCCTTGAAGGTTAAGTTGGATTACAAACACAGAGGTGGGGAGGAGTGGCACTCAGAGGGACGAAGTCACAGGAGTAAAGTGAGGAAGAGTGGCAAACACAGAGGGAGTTGTGAGCAGCTGTGAGCGGCTAGGGAGAAAGCCTGGGGAGCAGGTGAACTTGACTGTCAGGCGGGCTGGGTTTTTAGTCCAAACATGAAAAGCTATTGACAGATTCTTAAGCACTGGATTGACAGGACCCCCACTTCAGTAGGGGCTACTGAGGTGCTCCTGGGGAGCCCAGGGCTATTTTAATGTCGAATTATAGCTGCAGCGTTTTGAGTTCCCTGGAGGTTACTAATGTGAGGCAGAGACAAGTATGTTAATAGAACTCATCAACTATCCTTGTTTTGCTTTTAAAACGCTGTCAGGATTTGTCCTGTTGAGAACGGAGTCTGAAGTAAAGCCAGTTAACTAAGATTAAGGCATGTGAAAGTGCCTGGCTTGGGAAAGACACTCAATAAATCCCCTCCCAACGCTAGTCGCCTTGGATAGAAAGATTTCTTGCCAGGGTATATTCAGGGAGTTTCCTGTTCACAGGAACTGTTAGCTACAGTTCTGGGAATACTGGAGTGCTGTATTAAAGTAATAAATCAGACAATCCTTCTAATTTTCATGGGCCTAATCTGCCTTTTGAGGGAATGACTTCCTTTTGCCACCTAAACCATAGTTTGGCTCCAGGCCTGCCTACTGTATCCTTCCATGCCATCCTGGGTTCTCCTATGGGGAGCCAAGTACACGTGATGGCCCCACAGGTCTTAGTCACAGTTCCTATTGTCTGGGGGCCAAGCAAAGAAAACTGCCAACATGAATACATGAAGCTCTTATCAATGATTATCAATTCCTGGCTAGATCAGGATTAGGTTTGCCTGCATACAACTTGGGAATTCAAAATAAAAGTGGTTTACACAACACAGTTTACTTATCTCATATAGGAGCAGCTTACACGGGGACATTCTCCTAGTTCATGGCTTCCATCTTTGAGGTCACCTGGCATTCAAAACTGGATGCTAGAATTCCAGCTATCCTGACCACACTCCAAGAAGCAGAGAAGAGGTAGCCTTTTTAGAGAGCTTTGCTGGAAGCGTCCACTCACATCTTATTGCCCAGACTTAGTCCCTTGGCCAGCTGTCATTTTTGAGCTGGGAATACTGCTGTTCCTCAAGAAACAGGCCTTGAAACTAAGGGAGGTGGGAGAAGTCACTGGGGAGCAAAGTAGCTTCCTCTCTCACTTCAACCTATGCCTGACCCTGCTGCATGCTAGACTGCCTGATCACAGGTACATCCTAGTTCTCAAGGATATCATATATATGATATATAGTGTGTATATATATATACCATACACACACACCATTTCTCTTCTTGAAAAGTACGGAAGGATAAAGAAGGTAGAGTGTGGCAAGGGAGGGACTGGGCTTCGTAAGGTCATTTAGCCTGGGGACAGATGGTGAACTTGCAGTGATGAGATAGATAAATCAGTTTCCAAGTGGGCTTTCTCCCAGATGCCAGAGACCCTGGCTGTCCCTGTTTCATCATGCATTCCACTAACAAAGGTTTAACTTAAGAAAAACTATGTGGCACAAGTGCTACCCTCCCTCACTCCTCCCCTCATGGCAGCACCCTTCTCTGCTAAGCGGGGACATGACCTCAGAATCCTCAACACACTGTCCCTGGCAGTTCCTCTGGTCCAAAACACTTGACACTACTAGTTAAATCTATTAGCCATCCTTATTTTCTTGTGGGAATTTTTATTTGGACAGAGGATTTCTGGGTAGTTCCTAATTTCATGGAAATAAATTTCTCATGGTGGAATTTTAGGTATATGCACAGGCAAAAAATGTAGATATTTATAGGCAGCAGGCTTGGTATTCCTCAGATTTCACCACTCAGTGGCTGCAATCATTCTCACTGCTGGCAGCTTGCTCTTGTGATTGTTTACCTTACTGGACTGTGAATTTCTCCAGAATGGAAACTGTATCTTATCCACTTTTGTATCCTCAAGATGCCTGGCTCAGTATATTCTCAAAAATGTTATCCATAAATGAGTCACCTGCCTCAATCAAGGTCAAGTACTATCAAAGTGAATGCTTTCCCTGTAGCTGCTTACACTGTGGACTGCCTACCACCAAGGGCAAAAGGCAGGCCTCATTTGAAGGAGAGGTCAGTGACAGGAGGAACTGCAGTGGCACAACACACAGAAGGTCTTGGTTATGCCACAACTGCCTTAGAAATGCTTGTAACTGACATGAGAAACTGACTACCAGGCGACAGGGCGGCCATACCCTGAGGAGACAATACGCGTTTTCCTTCAGGTTCAGGTTCAGGTCCTGGGCTAACTTGGCTCAGTGTTTTGTGTTCCAGGAGGTGACTCAGGGAGTTGTGCAAATGACTGACTCATCATATTTCATGGATATGAGTGTGGCTGAGGTAAGACCGCAATTATCTCCTGATTCAATTAAGGTAGCCTATTCTTGATTGTTTTGATAAATTATGTAAGTTGATACTAATACTGCTTATGTTTTAAATAGTGTAGTTCCACAGAAAATTTGTTTTTTCTGTGAAAAACAAAGCTATTATTGCCAAAAAAGTGTGAAGAGTACGGACTTAGCTAGAGTTCACCTGAGTTTTATGTTTACCTGTTTACAGTGACCAAATTCTTCAACAGTGATCATGGTGGAAGATGAGACAAAATAATTCCCAAATGATTCTTTCTGCTCAAAGAGCAGCGTGGGTATGAGTAGATCCAGGTCGGTTTTTTTTTTTTAGAGACAGGGTCTCACTCTGTCACCTGGGCTGGAGTGCAGTGGTGCAATCACAGCTCACTGCAGCCTCCAACTGCCAGACTCAAGCCATCCTCCCAATCCTCCTCAGGCTGGAAGACAGGCCTTGTTACAGCGCTCGGGGCATACCTCTGCCCTTCCCTACTCCCCTAGTCCACACTCTGGGCTAAATCCACAGTCTACTGAGGAACTGTCCCTGCATTCAGATTCCAGAGTGACAGTGTCAGAGATGCTGTGGCTAGATACTCATATTGTTTCTGCATATGGCTATTCCTCAACCTTGTCTTCTTACTCTGGTCGAAGGGCTGAGCCCCACAGAAATAACAAGTCTCCCGTCATCCTTTTCTCTCTCTAAGTTTAGTACCAGTCCTAAGCAGTCAGCTCCCAGCTTCCTTTAGGGCAGAAAAAGTGGAGAGAAGTAACACTTGCTTTTCCATTCACAAAGTCCTGGAGATGGCAGGTAGGAGGTTTGGGTGGATGTAGCTTGGACTTTGAAATTAGAACCAGGTTCAAATCCCCAGTTAGGACATTTCTCAGTACTTTGATCTTGCATAAGTTTACTTACCAGAGTTAAAGCGGTCTATTTATAAAATGGGGTACAACTTATCAGATTTAGATGTTAGAAATAGTACAGTACATGGCAGCTAGCAAGCTTTCAAGAAATGACATCTCTCATTAGTATCATTTTGACATCACATTTCTCTGCTCATAGTTGGTTACTGTTCTGTAATTTTCCCCAAAGTGTCACTGTGTGTCAGGGAGAGAGCACCTGCCTGGAGGAGTTTGAAGTGTGCATGTGGGGTGCATCGAGGGGGTCGGCACCCAGGTAAACCACTAGCGAGGTTTTAGTACGTATCCTTTCTCTCCAGGATTGCTGATCTCAATAAGTGCAAACAGGTACATACCTAAGGGGAATATGGTGGAAATGTCAGAGGAGGTAGGGGTGGTGGGGGGCGGAAATCCTGGCAGACCAGAGGCTGTACCATGCTTTGTTGAGGGTACGTGGCTACACTGATCTCTAGTCCTCCAGATGCTCTCCCCAGTTAACACTGCCCAGCGACCTGACTGGACAGGAAGCATGCAGCCAGCCATGCTGTCACCTTAGTGTCATTGTCTCTTTCTCCTTTTAAGCCCTTCAGAAACCATAATTTGAATGTAAATGTTATACATTTTATAATGAAATAAAAATTGCTTAATGTGCCTGAGTAGATACACCACATTCCGATGGTTCATTGACTGGATGCTGACTTTCATGTATGGCCCAAAGTACAAAGCAGCAATCACAGCAGACAAGGGAGCTCCTCTCCCAAGGGTTCAGCCATCCGACCCAACCTCCATAGCCCAGAAAATCTGAATACACACATGCAAGTGTAAATGTGCCCCGGTCAGTTTTCCCAGGAAGCAGGAGGGCCCACACAGCCTCAGGAAAGGGCACTCTTTTGCACTGGTGTTGTCTACCCACCCTCTCCAGGGCTGTCATTCTTCAGAACTTCCCTTTTATACTTCCTCTCTCATCTGGTCAGCATGACCACTTTGCAGCCATTTATTTTCCAGGGACATTTGTCACTTATCCTAACAAACAGCATTAATACAGTTGAGAGGATGGAGCTTTTAAAAATATGGACTATGCTGAAGGAATTAAGAGAAAAAAACTAAAAAAAATATGGACTAATAAATGTAAAAACAGTCCTGTGAGAAGGAGGGAAAGCACAGGTTAAAAAATGGCTAGATGCAGGGAATTAAATGAAATGCTTATAAAGCCTTTCACAAGATGGCCCCACATTGCTGATGCTAAATAACAAGTCCCTCATTCCTTCTCTCCCCTTTAGTACCTGGATTTGTCACTAACAGGTGCTGGGATCTGAAAAAGGCATGATTTCATCTCTCTGGGCCTCAGTTTCCTCATATATAAAATTAAGATAGTTGTGCTGGTTTTTTTTTTTTTTTTCAAGAACTAGTTCAACAACATTCCCAGCCCCTCAAGACTCCTTTAGTACGTATTCGGAAAAAAGGGTGGGAAGGCTGTTTCCGCACCTTATATTCTTCCCAATAAAGGCAAGAAAAGTCAGGGATGGCTGACATTGTGGGCTTTGGGAGGGAATTCGACCATTTACTGGACTTTTCTCTGAGCCAGGCTCGTTCACATACCTTGATCCTAGTTAACTGCCCCAAGTTAACTTGTTCCCAAAGCGACAATACCTGATGGCATTCTACAAGCAAAACAAGGTCAGTTGATGAATTGTGTTAACTTAATTCTCTACCTCACATTAACTTTCAAGGAACTCAAAACACTCCACAGCGAATTCAACATTAAAATAGCTCTGGGACCCCAAGATTTATTTCAGGGCTTAAAACAAGATTATCATCAAGTCCTCGGCAAAGCTCGAAATATAGTCGAAGAGAGAACTCCCAAATCAAGGCCCAGCTTCTTTCAAATGCTTACCAAATACATAAATAAACAAATGAAAGAAAAAAGGCCGGTGCCTTGGCCCAGGCCTGTAATTCCATGGGAGACAGAGACGGACGATTGCTTGAAGCCAGGAATTCGGTACCAGTCTGGGTATGAGATGCCTTCCTTACAAAAAGTTAACACACACACACACACACATCCCTACCTTAGCTACTTTGGAGACACACATACACACACACACACACACACACACTCCCAATGCCCCTACCTTAGCCGGGCATGGTGGCGTGAGCCTGCAGTCCCAGCTACTTTGGAGGCTGAGAAGGGAGAATCACTTACTTTGGAGACACACACACACACACACCCTACCTTCGCACACACAAGGGAGAATCGCTTAGCTACTGTGGGGACACAGACAGACAGACACACACACACACACACACACCCTACCTTAGCCGGGCGTGGCTGGAGACACACACACACACCCCTACCTTAGCCAGGTGTGGGTGGAGACAGACAGACAGACAGACAGACAGACACACACACACACACACACACAGATATCCCTACCTTAGCCAGGTGTGGGTGGAGACAGAGACACACACACACACACAGACCCCTACCTTAGCCAGGCGTGGGTGGAGACACACACACACACACACACACACACACATCCCTACCTTAGCCAGGTGTGAGTGGAGAGAGACAGACACAGACACACACACACCCGTACTTTAGCCAGGTGTGGGTGGAGACAGACACACACACAGACACACACACCCCCTACCTTAGCCGGGCGTGGCGCGAGCCTGTAGTCCCGGCTACTTTGGAGGCTGAGGCGGGAGAATCGCTTGAACCCAGGAGTTCGAGGCTGCAGTGAGCCGAGATCGCGCCACTGCCCTCCAGCCTGGGCGACAGAGCGAAATCCTATCTCTAAAGAAATAAATTAGAAAAAGAAGAGGGAAAAAAGGGCCAGCCCGGTCTCGGAGAGGCAGGCGCAGCCTCAGCGCTCTGGGCCCGGATCCTCCACCCGGCCTCGGCCGCGCTCCCGCCCGCTGCGGGCCCCGGGGACGCCGCTCGCATCCCGCGCTAGGCCCCGTCCCGCCCGGCCCGGGGGAGTGGAGGCGGCAGAGGCCGGGCGGGGAAGCGCCTCCAGACGCCGAGCTCCGGCCGCCGATTCTCGCGACGCCAGCGCCAGCTACAGGCGCGGCCCCGGGGAGCGACCCCACACCCGCACAGGGCCGCGCCTCCCCGGCCCTCCCCGCGGCCGCCGATCTGCTTCCAGGGCAGAGGGAAGGGGCGGCGACGGGGCGGGGCGGGGAGTGCGGCGAGGGGCGCGCGCCGCCGGGGGAGGGCCGCCTGCATCCTCCCGGGGCGCCGCGCCGCGCGGGGCCCAGGGGCCGCGCCCACGCCCGCTGCCTGCCCCCTCGCCGGTCGCCCAGCCGCCTGGCGCGGACACGCGTGCCCCCGGCTTGAACCGGAACCTCTTGCCGAGGCCGCCGCCGCCGCCGCCGCCGCCGCCGGGGAAGCGGACGCTGACTGGGAAGCGCGGGGGGAGGCGGCCTGCGCGGCGCCGCCCGCCATGGCAGCGGCGGGGTGAGGTAGGCGCGGCGGCCGCAGTCGCGCGGACCCGAGCGCTCCTCCGCCGCGGATAGGCCGGCCGAGGGGGAGCCGGGGCCGCCGCCCGCTCGTCGCCGCCGCCGCCGCCCATGGCGAGGCTCCGCCGCCGCCGCCGCTGCTGACCCGGCGGCCGGCCGCGGCTTCCGCCCCCTCCCGCGGCGGCGAGCGGGCGGGACTCCCCCTACGCCCCCGCCGCCCGCGCCCCGCGCCCGCCCGCGCCCCGCTCCCGGGGTCGGGGAGAACAGGACCGCAGCTGGAGTCGGGGGCCGCCGAAGATGGGGAACACTACCTCGTGCTGCGTGTCGTCCAGCCCCAAGCTCCGGAGGAATGCCCACTCCCGGCTGGAGTCCTACCGGCCGGACACGGACCTGAGCCGCGAGGACACGGGCTGCAACCTGCAGCACATCAGCGACCGGGAGAACATCGACGGTGAGTGCGGCCCGCCGGCCCCGCGCCCGGCCGAGCGCCGCGCCCCGCGCCCCGCCGAGCCCCGCGCCCCGCCGGCCCCCGCGCCCCGCCGAGCCCCGCGCCCCGCCGAGCCCCGCGCCCCGCCGAGCCCCGCGCCCGGCCGAGCCCCGCGCCCCGCGCCCCGCCGACCCCGCGCCCCGCCGAGCCTCGCGCCCCGCCGACCCCGCGCCCCGCCGACCCCGCGCCCCGCCGAGCCCCGCGCCCCGCCGAGCCCCGCGCCCCGCCGAGCCCCGCGCCCCGCGGCTGCAGCCGCGCACCAGCATCCGGGTGGCCCGCCTGCTCTTGCCGGCCCAGCCGGTCTCGGCGACCCGTGCACGACCGCGGCTTCGTCCGCGCAGCGGCCCCGCAGCCTCCGGGCGTACCCCTCGCGGGTTTTCCCCGAGTGAGCGGCCGCGGAAACTTTGCAGGCCCGCGGCACCGGAGCGCGGCGGGCCGGGGGCGGGTGTGTGCGTGTGGGTCGCGGGGTGACGGCGGCCGGCCCTCGTCCGCAGCGGCGCGGCCCGGAAGCCCGGGGTTCCAGGCGCTGCCGGAATGCAGCCCGAAGCCAAGTTGTGCACGCGTTTGTCCTGCAAGAGCGGTGGGAGTGGATTCCCGTTTTGGAGTCCCGGTGTCTCCAACCCGGAGTTGGAGAACCGTGTTGACTTAAGTCAGTTTCCCGGAACCTTACAAATGGACTCCACTTGACTGACCTCCGTTCCCATTCTCCTTAAAAAGTTTTTTTTAAAAAGGGTCTTTTTTTGGCGGGGGGGATGGGGATGGTGTCGGTTCCAGGGTTAGAGGCAAATCGCGTCTCCCGAGAATGCTCTGTAAAAGATTGTCAGACGCCATTGGGTTAAGTCACACAGTTTTTGCTTGGACTCTAATTGCAGTCCTGTGAATTTCTGATTTATTCGGGAATTCATAACCGGGGCTTCGTCCACACTTTTGGTTGGACTGGAGTTTGCCAAAAGAAAAGCCAAGACTAATGACTGCACCCAGTAATGTTTTATTTTATCGGTTTGGCAACGTATTTATTAGCACTGTGGCCCAGTGATATCGACAGAAGGATGTCATCATTAAGCATCAAGCTTAAATATCGTTGATAGAATTTTCAACTTAAAAGGTTTGAGATTGGAAATATCTTTTTATGACAACATGATTTTTTTTTTTTTAACTGAAACGTCTTCTCATAATCTAGTTGAATGAATACGGAAAAATTTTTGTGTCAATGAATGGACACAACTTCATAATTCTTTTCTGTCGTCTTTAGGATGGAATGTTCTCTCTACTGTGGAAAGGCCACATTTAAATTCTGCTAAAGGAAATATTTATCTCTTTTGTCTTTGTGTGATTTCTTCTAAATGGTAATTTCATCTTTTTAGGAGAGCATCTTTATTAAATAAGTGTCATGTAGAAAGGGACTAACAGTCTGGTTTCTAGTACGCGCTTAGTAAATTATGGTTCCATATGACATTTCCAGTGTTGTTATTTTAGATTTCCATTATTTTTAACATACTCTTTAGATGGCTTTGAACTACAGCCATACTTTCTTCTTAAATTTATGCATTTAAAGGCATTTGGAAGGATGAAGGCCCCATCTATCTCAATCACTTTCACGGCCTCTAGCACCTGAAAGAAAAGTCTGGCGTATAATAAACATTCCGTAAATATTGCACTTGAAAGGGAGGAGTAAATGAGTGAGTTGATTACAGAAGGCCGTTACTCAGTCCCATACAATGTTGACAAGTAAAAACAGTTGTAAATAATTTCTTCTTTATGTTGTGCAGTACATTTCTTTTTTATGTTGTGCATAAAAAATAATTCAAAAATTATTTTGAATGATGGATCAGAAAAAAAAGGAGGGAAAAAAAAAAAAACAACAGAAGATGATTCATATTTCTTAGAGCCAGGCTGCATGCAGTTATTTTAACTATGGTAAGGACACAAGGTGGAAAAAATAATTGTATCCAGGTATTTGGCACTAAGGTTTAGTATGATTTTGCCAGAGTACAGTGAAATAATATTGTGTGTTCTTTCATTTCAAATAAAACTTAAGTTTCAGTCAGCAGGTATTTTCGAGAGAACATTTGGAAGACTCTTTTGGAGATTCAGGACAGTTTGAGAGACTATAGGGCAGGTTTCCAATCTAGGCCGTGGAGTGCCCTCTCATCTCAGATCCCAGTTCATATGATAATGCTAGTTTAAACCCCGAAATACTGATTAACCGTCTGCCTCTCAGATTCAATAAATAATAGTTCTAGCATTGACCCAGCTGGCAGTTCTCGACATTGGCTTCAGTTAAACCAGAAATCTAGTGTTGGACTTTGCCGTTAATATGTTTAATTAAATCTCTCCAAGGTGTTTCTGAGATGCAGGTAGGGCTGAGAATTGCTGACTGGGCAAATCTTGGAAGTGTTACCTGCTGTTCAGGGACATTTTTGCTAGAAATTCATTATTAGAGATTAAGAGAACAGATTTTAGCTAAATTATGTGTGTGTGTGTGTGTGTGCGCGTGCGCACATACAAATAGGCAAATATAGACGTATAAATATGTATATATTCACATACAGATAAGCAAATCCAGACATATAGACATATATATGTGACATATACACACATCTATATGTCTGTATTTGCCTATCTGTATCTGTATGTATTTGAACTGAGTTGTATTGATTGTTAGGTTATTAGTAAACATTTTAAAACTATAAGAATTACTGATTCTAGTATATATCAAAAGCTGAAGTACACAAGTACCATCTTCTGTATGTCCTGAAATACATACCACCCAGCTGATGTAGAAAGGTTTGGAGAAGTTCATGGGTCTTCTATACTAGGTTAGTGTCTTTAAATCACGGAGATACAACATATGTATCCATGTTTTCTCCCCCTGCCACCAGACACATGAAGGGGTAATATTTGTCCTATAGAATTTCAGTGGCAATTTTAGTGTCTGGGTGCTTAGGTGTCTATGGTGCTTACTGGCAAGTTAACGTGCCTTTGTACTCAGTGTATCGTAGTGTTAGGTTATTCGTGTTTTTGAAATTGATATTAGACTCATGCTCCCCAGGTATTATTTTTTATGAAATCATTCAGAGATTGAGAAAAAAAAACAATACATAACAATAATGATAGTAATTTTCAAAACAATTCTTTAGGAAAAAAAATGATAGTAATAATTGCAACCTATGTATTACTTATTCTGTACCAGATGCCACCAGCTGTCACTCTAAGTACTTGGATTCTGTTCATTTACTTAGAACTCACAGTAACCCTATGGGTAATATTATCCTTACTTTAAGACAAAGAAATGAGGCATTGAGAGGAGAAATGACCTGTCCAGAGTCACACAGCCAATATGTGGCAAATGGGAACTTCCCATTGTTGCTTGACTTAGCCATCAAACATTAGCTAGTCTGGGGTTGCCTTCTGGGATAGGGTGTCCGTTGTCATTTCGTGTCCATACTTTCTGAAAGAGAAACTCTTCTGTCTGCAACAGTTATTCAGTCCAGACTTCCATGATTAGGTTATTTCTGTGGGAGGAAAAAGGGAGGGAGGGTCTAAAGAGAATTTAAAATGTGAGACCAGATAAATCAGGACACTTGTAACAGCTGTGCCACAGTGTCCTGGTAGGGTTTTACTTCAAAATGGTTGATGGCAACTTCATTCTTTTCATTCTTATGGCTTACCTGTCATCCTTGACAACTCAGTTTCTCCCTTGTCCTGTATCCTGTCTGCTAGGAAGGTGTGGCTCTGGATCCTCGGAATATATCCAGTCGCTGACCGCTCTCAACACCTCCGCTGCTGCTCTTCTGAAGATCTAAGCAGCTGCTGTCTCTCCCAGCCCACCCGGTCTCCCTACTTCTACCCTAGCCTGCTCCAGTCTGTTCTCAACACAACAGCCATGGCTGAGATCCTTTAAAAGCTTTAGCGTCTTATTCTTTCACTCAGAAATGGCAGCGACTTTTCATTGCACAAGTAAAAGCCTTACAGTGGTTTCCAGGACCCCTTGTGATCTGCCTGCCATCAGCTCACTCTGTCGCTTGCTCATTCCAGCCACATTGGCCTCCCTCCCTGCTTCCTGGAATGTACCAGATACCAACTTCCACCCCTGTTCTCTTCCTCTGTTCTCCATGTGCCCGCTTGGCTGAGTCCCTGTATCACCTGCAGCCTTGATTCAAGCCTCACCTTTTCAGTGAGGTGTTCCCAGTCACCCCCTTTAAACATCCTTCCTGCTGCCCACTGGCAATCCCAGTGCACATTCCCTGACTCCCGTTTCTTTATTCCCTGTCACCTCATGATATACTATATAAGTATAAACATATCTAATAGCTACCTTCACCTGCTGTGTAAGTTCCAATAGAACGTTTATTGTTTGGTTCACCGATATAACCCAAGTTCCTTGAGTAGCACCTGATTCCTTGAAAATACTGTAAGTTGCTGGGCGCGGTGGCTCACGCCTGTAATCCCAGCACTTTGGGAAGCCAAGGTGGGTGGATCACGAAGTCAAGAGATCGAGACCATCCTGGTCAACATGGTGAAACCCCGTCTCTAATAAAAATACAAAAAATCAGCTGGGCCTGGTGGTGCGTGCCTGTAATCCCAGCTACTCAGGAGGCTGAGGCGGAGAATTGCCTGAACCCAGGAGGTGGAGGTTGCGGTGAGCCGAGATCGCGCCATGGCACTCCAGCCTGGGTAACAAGAGCAAAACTCCGACTCAAAAAAAAAAAAAAAAATACTGTAAGTATTTGTTGAATGAATTTGTTGGGTGAAACCAACCACTGAAGGACGTGAGTGAGAACATCATCGTGTGTGTTTATTGGGTGAGGGGAACCAGGAGGGAAAGAGAGAATGAAGAGGACTTGTGATAATGAAAGTAGCATGCATATGAAACTTTTTGGCTTTGTTTGTAGGCTAACCAGAGAGGTGGCAGATAGGGTGAAGTCCTGAAATGACATGTAAACGTTTTAAAGCATAACAAA